CATATCTGTCCCCATGGACGATTTTACATGAAATAAACTCATCCAACTGGCTTCTTCTTATCGCCATCACACATGACCTATTCAATGTTTCGTTCGTCTAAACCGGAATTAGATCATTGGGTCACAAAAAATGTCATATGTGAAAGGTAGAATCGTTCTACCTATAAGGAAATGGTTTTCTTTTAAATTGGTTAAAAAGATGTGAATTTTAATCAGAAATTTTAACTGTAAGCCGTCATTGAGTTATTAAGATAACTGTAAGTGTCGTTTCAAATAGATTTCAATCCTCACATGGAAGTTTATGTCATGAATTCCTTTCATATGTTTTGTGTGAAAATATACAACTAACTGCACAAAGGTCGTGGAATACTCGATTTATCGGCTCAGAAGTAACCAGTGCATAATATAATAAGTTTAGAATCGTGTTCTTCGATAACTAAACAAATAACTACATAGCTGTAGGATTAAATTGACGAAATCTTTTAAAGCGCCCTTTGAATATTGTATCAGAAATGTATGCTTAAGTTTGTTCAACCTAAGTACATTAGAAAATTAAAGCTTACCTTGTGAATACCTGTTGGGGATATTAGATCCCCAGAACTCTCGCTTGATAAATGCCTTATTTTGGATTTCACGTTTGCCAGCATGGGCTGATCAGTTGACTTTGAGATTTCATTTCCCACCAGGAAAACCCATGGCTGTGATTGGCTGCTGTGTATTTTAGTGTGCTATTTTCGTAACTGTCCCAAGGACGTTTCTATGATGTATAAATAAACGAGAGTTGTATGCTTGATTGTATTGTGTGATTGCTGGGTGTTTGTAGAATATACTTTCTACGCTTATCAAGACTTCTGTTTTACAGCTGGGGATTCAAGGTAGCCTATCTGGACGCTGGTTCATTGTCTCGTTCGCGTTAATCGACTAAGGTGAACTCGTAATAGCTTCAAGCGTACCAATTGACGAACATAACAATACCACTACAGTTCACTGTAAACTTGAAACTATCCTTCTCCTATATGGCTGTGAAACATGGTCAGTAAGAGTAGAAGATGTTCGTAGGTTACTAGTATTCGAGCATAGATGTTTAAGAAGCATTGCTCGTATATTGTGGGACAACCGAGTAAGCAATGCTGTCGTTAGGAAACGGGTGCTAGGTAGATCAATAGATGAAGTGCTGAAACTTCATCAGTTGAGGTGGTTGGGACATGTGTTACGAATGCCTAACCACCGACTGCCTCGACGAGCTATGTTTTGTGGTGTAGGAGTAAGTTGGAAGAAAGCTAGGGGCGGCCAGACCAAAACATGGCAGAAATCCATGAATTCACTCTCAAGTAGACTGAGTCATGTTGGTAGATGTAGACTACCTGGTTGGTGTCCACGAGACGAAAGTCACCAATGTGTAGAGACCTTGAACGACATGGCTCAAAATCGTTTACAATGGCGCAAATGCATCCATTCTTTGAGCTCTCTCAAATCCTAAACTTTTGGACTCGTCAGCCCCTCTACCTTTCTCTTTCTAACCTTATCTCACTGAATTATACTTCTTGAATAATATCTTCAAACCCTAGTCTTCTTCATCACCATTAATACCTCTACTATCTTTATCACTATGGGATTTGATTTGACATTTGCGTCTCTGTGCGCTAATGTGGTATGGCAACATGTACTTATGTACATAGATACGTAGTTCTACGTTGCAACTGACTGAATCTATCCTAATAAACTATGTTAAGATATATTGATTTTTGTGATAATGTCTTCTCCCTACCATATCAAGTTATCTCTCTCTGTCTCGTTAATATTTTCACTTGAAATAACTTGATTTAGCGGAATTGGCGGCTTTGAATCGTTCTCAGTAGAAAATGATCGTTTACTGTCGTTTCGCTAATTTGTTCGTTCTTCCTGAGTTTTATGTCTTTGATTCGCGCTATATTACTGTTACCGTTTCTACTATTCTGAGATTTTTCATCATAATTTCATGTGTGTATGCTGATGAAGTGTGGTGAATTAAACGAGAGTACATAAGGAGTAAATTGTTTACTGTTTATGACAGACTGGTTGATTGTTTGAGGAAGCATTATGAACTACCCTAACATCAACTACCTTATCACTTAGTCGTTACTCAAAGAGATACAGACAGACAGATACAACGCAGAAATTCATACATAAGTACATCAGTTCAGGTTGCCATGCCCCATCAGCACAGAGACGTAACTGTCAGTTCAAATAGAAGAGTGATAGTGATAATAGAATTATTAGCAGCAATAGAGAAGATTAGGGAGCAAAGATATGATTCAAAAGTATAATTCAGTGAGATAAATTTTTTGAAGGAGAAAGATAGAGATTATGAGGAATTCAGAAGGTTAGATTTAGAGAGAACACAAAGAGTGGATGCACCTGTGCCAATGCAAACGATTCTAAGCCATGTTGTTACTCAAATCGAAATCATGAATCAATCATTGTTAGACCGTTATTATAAACCTGAAAGTACTAATCGGCCGCTTCGTCCTGGTATGGGATTCATCAGCAGTGCGTATCCACGACTCCTGCCACTCGCAGGATTCGAACTCAGGACCTTCGATCTTGCGCGTGAACGCCTAACTTCAATGCTTCCTTTAATGCTGATCTAACAATGATTGATTCATAATTTCTATGTGTAAAACAAAACAATGATTTCCATATCACTAATTGGAAAAAGATTACTCAAATGGAATATATCAGTCTTTCAAAAGATCATTTATAACCTAACTAGATCGATGGTCATATCATTCATGATGATGCTGCGTTGCACTGATTCCCATTGTACATTAGTGTCATTTCATTTATTTAACATGGTATCCAGTCACCCACTGATAATATTTTGTTTAAAAGATCTATGAAATATTCAATTCTATTATTGGCTCAATAAAATGACAGATTACTGAAATTGGATAATACTAGTAATCATGAAATTCTAAGCATGCCTGAGAAGATAGTCAACATCATACAGAATTCCTATGATGGATTAAACTGCGAAATTGTGCATAGAGGACAGCTGACAGACTCGGTCGAAGTGAAGACCAGTATCAGGCGAGGTTGATAACTCTCACTCTTTCGCATTCTCCTGGTGATCGACTGGGTGGAAGCACGGAATACAGTGCGGCTGGATGATTTGGACTTCACAGATGATCTGGACATTCTATACCACACGCAACAACAAATGCAGGAGAAGACGATCAGTGTTGCAGTAGCCTCAGCAGAAGCAAGTCTCAACATACATAAAGGGAAATGTTAGATTCTACAATACAACACAACATGCATCGACGAAATCACACACTTTAGGGAGAACCTTAGGAGGATGTAGAAACTTTTACATGCCTGAGTGGCTCTATTGATAATAAACAACGAGGATCTGATACAGACGGGAAGTCAGGGATTGGCATAGTAAGGGTAACATTTCTACATTTGAAGAACATCTGAAACTTAAAAAAACTATCAGCTAACAACCAAAGTCAGAATTTTCAATTCAGATGTTAAGACAGTTCTATTGTATGGAGTGAAAACTTGAAAAACAATGAAAACCATCATCAGGAAAATCCAAGTGTTTAATAACAATTGTTTACGCAAAATACGAAATTTCGCACAGAGAACAGCTGGCAGACTCGTTAGAAGTGAAGATCGGTATCAGACAAGGTTGCTTAGTTTCCATCTGTCTCTTTCTCTTGATGGAATAGCGGAATCTGAAGTCGTCTATATCTTAGGGGTAGCATGGAATACTATGAAAAATTTGGATTTTTCAGATGATTTGGGTCTTCTATCCCACACGCAACAACAAATTTAGATGAAGACGACCAGTGTATCAGCAGCCTTTGTAGCAGTAGATCTTAATATACACAAAGGAAAGAGCAAGACACTCCCGATAACGCACATCATACGTTGACGAAATGACACTTGTTGGAGAAGCTTTTGGGGGGATTTGAAAACTTTAACATATCTCGGCAGCTCTATGAATAATAAATAATCAAGGAGGATCTAATGCAGATGTGAAGGCACGGATTGGCAAAGTAAGCGCAGAATTTCTACAGTTGAAAAACATATGGAACTCAAAACAACTATCAACTGACACCAAAATCAGAATTTTTAATAAAAATGTCAAGATAGTTCTATTTTATGAAGTGGAAAATTGTAGAACCACTTAAACCATCATCCGGAAAATACTAATGTTTATTGACACGTTTTTATGCAAAAAACATCCGATTTTCTGATCAGACACCATCAGCAACAGTCTACTGCGGGAGACAGCAGACCAGATTCCAGAAGACGAAGAAATCACAAATAAGCAGTGGAAGTGCACAGGATATACATTGTGGGAAGTAGCTAACTGCGTCATAAGACACGATCTCACCTAAAATCCTCAAGGCTATCGGAAAAGAGGATGGCCAAGGAATACATTACGCTGAGAAATGGAGAGAGATATGAAAAGAATGAACAATAATTGGACAAAGCTATTAAGGAATGCCCAAGATAGAGTAGGTAGTAGAATGCTAGTTGATGGCCTATGCATTATTGGTAGGGGTAACAGGCGTAAGTAAGTAAGAAAGTAAGTAATGAGACTCTAGATCAGAAATGTCACAGTAATATTTTAATATCAGAATTTCAAGTTGCTTAGATTAGTCGCATGTAAAATTCAAGATCTATACGTTTGTAAAACCTCCTCAAGCTAAGACCGAAACTAATAGTTTGCTTCTTTAATGATAAAGAATAGTAGTTTACATCGGAATTCATGATCCGTATTTCATCATGTTTAAGGGAATCGGTTACCTGGATAGATCTACATCGCACAAACACTATTAATGTTGACATTGAAAATTGAACTAAATCGATTTCATTCAAACCGCTCAATTCTATCTGTTATCCATTAATCTATTCAACTCTCTCTTCCTATTTCCCTTAAAAACTTCTCCTCCTCATTAATCAACATCACCTCTTCTATCTTTCCCCATGCTTTTTTTTTTAATTAGGCCTACGGTATTGTCTGGAAAGCAATCAATCGTAAAACCAAAGAAGTGGTCGCATTGAAAAAGAATTTCGATGCATTTCGTAATCAAACAGATGCTCAAGTTTGTGAAATAAACATTTTTCTTCCTCATTCACTCACTCACTCACTCATTCACTCAATCACTCACTCACTCACCCACTTTCACTCACTCACTCACCCACTTTCACTCACTCACTTTCACTCACTCACTCACTCTCACTTGTTATTAATTTTTTACTTGTAGAGAACATTTCGTGAAATTGCATTTTTACAAGCATTCGGTAATCATCCAAATATTATTGGATTATATAATGTCATAAGAGCGGAATGTGACAAAGATATTTATCTGGTATTTGAATATATGGGTAATGAGTGAATTTCTGTGTTTATTGGTTAAAAATCAATAATTGAACTTTTTCTCTCTCTTGCTCTCTCTCTATTTGTAATTAAAATTGCATTTCCAAATTAATAGAAACCGATTTACACAATGTTATACGTAAAGGGAATATTCTGAAAGATATACATAAACAATATATTATGTATCAATTGTTTAAAGCCACAGCATATTTACATTCAGGTGAAGTGATTCATCGTGATTTAAAGGTGAGTTGAGTTAATAAACAAGTCAACATATATACATTGTACTTACTTACTTGCTTACTTACTTACTTACTTACTTACTTATGCACTTACTTACTTACTTACTTATTTGCTTGCTTACTTACTTACTAACTTACTTACTTACTAACTTACTTACTAACTTACTTACTTACTTACTTACTTACTTACTGACTTACTTACTTACTTGCTTGCTTACTTACTTACTAACTTACTTACTTACTTACTTACTTACTTACTTACTTACTGACTTACTTACTTACTTACTTACTTATGCACTTACTTACTTACTTACTTACTTACTTACTTACTTACTTACTTACTTACTTACTTACTTACTTATGCACTTACTTACTTACTTACTTACTTATGCACTTACTTACTTACTTACTTACTTATGCACTTACTTACTTACTTACTTATGCACTTACTTACTTACTTACTTACTTGCTTGCTTACTTACTTACTTACTTACTTACTTACTTACTTACTTACTTATGCACTTACTTACTTACTTACTTACTTACTTACTTACTTACTTATGCACTTATGCACTTACTTACTTACATCTGTTGTCCCTAATGGAGCATCAGCGCCCGCGACCAGCATTGTACAACTGTACTCTACTGTGTCCTAAATCTTCTTTTGACAAGTTCTATCCAACTGACGTTCATTCTTTTTTTCTTGATTGTCTCCAATTGTTGATTCAGTGTATTACTTGGTCTGTCACATTTCCTTTGACCTTGGGATTCCAGCTCAGAACTTGCTTTGTGATGCAGTAGTGTGATTACCGCAATATGTGTCTTATCTACCGACAGAGCTTCTTCCTGATTTCTTCGTCTGCTGGAATCTGGTTTACTGTCTCCCATAGTATGTTGTTGCAGATGGTGTCCGGTCAACGGATCTTCAATAATTTGCGTGGACAACTGTTAATAAACACTTGTATTTTCCGGATCATGGTTTTCGAGGTCTTACATATTTCCGTCGCATAAAGTAAAAGCTATCTTGACCTTGGTGTCGGTTAACAGATGTTTTGAGTTCCATACCTTATGCAATTGTAGAACAATCGTCTTCGCTCTGTCAATCCGTTCCTTTAAATATGCATCAGATCTACGTTACTCATAAATGATGCTGCCGGGGTATCTAAAGGTCCCCACTTCCTCTAGTGCTTCTCTGCTAAAAACGATTTGGTTGGTGCATGTTGTGTTGTATCGCAAGAACCTGCTTTTTCCCTTGTGCATGTTGAAACCTACTGTTGCAGAGGCTGCTGCTACACTGGCCGTCTTCGCCTGAATTTGTTGCTATATATGTAGAATAAGAGGGCTAGATCATCTGCGCAGTACAGCTGCATCCGATGGGAACATTCAAACTACCAGTGAAGTCAAAAATATTGTGGTCTAATAATGTAGGGTTAACTGTCATAAATGAATGTTCTAGATTTGATCTCTGGTCAGATGGTGAGTCCTACCAGTTGGATAGAAACAGTTAATTACTGATTTGTAGTTTTCACTGGTTAACAAATCAGGTGAATCTGTGACGAATGCCGACGTTACAAATGAGGAGATTACACATTTGAATCATCAACATGACCCTAAAAAAAAGACAGACATTCCGATTTTAAATTCAATACTTCTGATTTTTTTTATTGAAAGTATAAAATAATCTAGGTTCAATGTATTTGAATCAGTGTTCAATGTTTCAAGAAAAGAAAAGTATATTGATGAACAATAATGACTAATTTTCAATAAGCTGCAAATATGAACAGAATATAAAGCTATCTTTATTACCAAGAACTTGGAAATTACTTACTTACTTGCTTACTTACGCCTGTTACCCCCAATGGAGCAAAGGCCGCCCACCAGTCTTCTCAAACCAACTCTGTCCTGGGCTTCCCTTTTGAGTTCTTTCCAATTTTTGTTCATCCTTCTCATATCTTTCTCGATTTCTCGGAGGAATGTGTTTTTTGGCTTTCCTCTTTTCCTTTTACCTTGTGGGTTCCATGTGAGGGCTTGTCTTGTGACGCAGTTGTGTGCTTTTCGTAGTGTGTGTCCTATCCACTTCCACCGCTTCTTCCTGGAAACAATGTTCACCTATTAGGTGACGAGTTACATTCTAACAGATGTGAAAGTCTTCGACTAAATTCAGAGAAGTATTGAGGAAAGCCAAAATAATTGTGTACTATTTTCTAAGACATATTTTTACTACTGATAATGTCAACTTGTAGTCGAAAAAATATGAAAGTTATGATGCTTTCTTGTGGGTTAACTTCTATCTATCACTGCTTACAGATAAAATAACCAAGTGGTTATCATCCTTTCTTCAACAGAAATGATCAGAAATCGATTTAAACTGTTCATCATTTATTTACGCAACATTTCTAATAGATCTCGTAAGAGAATGTATTTCTGAGAATATACTTTCTTGCACTTTGTTTTAAGCTATAATTATACAAAATCTTTCAACCAAGTTCAACAGTATTCAAGTTTATTCACAGTTGAAATCCAATAATTTACGCTTTTAAAGTCGAAATGTCGATTTCAAAATTTGGTTTTCTGTTTTTGCAGAAGTTTGACTTCAATTTTGACTGATGTTGAATTCCAGCCGCTAAAGTTTTGATTAAGTTTAACAAGACAGAACTACAAACAACGATGAAACGTTAATTTAAGTGGTCGTGTAGTAATGTGTACTAAAGTTGATCCAACATGACCTGTTCTAGATTTTACCTTCCGACACATCTTTTGACCTTGTCTATTAGTCGCTCATAACCTTCGTTGTTTTTACTCTGGTGTGTGTGTGCATTGCGCACTTCGCTTGTTACATGTCTAGCTTATTTATGTCAGACTATCAACACATGGTCATGCTTCACTGCATTGAGTTGACTCACTCACTTCCTTCATGCCACTTAACTTCACTTCACTGCCCCACTTTTTATCTTCATGTTTGTCTGCGTCAATGATGACATGAATCTGTATGTGACTTCTTATCACACCGCCAGTGCATAAACGGGATTCGCCTAAGAATGAATTTTTCCAGTAGATTTGTGGAGATGAGTGTTTTTTACACATTTGAAATCATCAATCCATCATTGTAAGACCACCATTAGCAACCTAGAAGCACTTGATGGCCGTTTCGTCCTGATATGGGACTCATCAGCAGTGCGCATCCATAACTCTTGCACCTCGCAGGATTCGAACCCGGTATTTTCGGTATATATACATTGTTCGTAAAGATTAGAGTCAGATGCCAGGTCACAAAAATCACTTCATAAAAACATTTCGTTCAAGTTATCGATTTTTTCCACAATGAAACTATTTTGAAACATTTTTCCTTTATATATAATCAGTAATCACTGATTTTTGCCTATTTTCATTCATACATATACTTCAGCCTTCAAATGTTCTCTTGGATTCTGATTGTTCAGTAAAATTGTGTGATTTCGGTTTAGCACGTTCATTGAAAGGACGTAGTAAATGTGAAAATGGCAGTGGGAAAATCAATTGTAAAACATTGTTGCCTGCATTAACTGAATACGTCGCTACTCGATGGTATCGTGCACCGGAAATTCTCTTAGCATGTCATGATTATACTAAAGGTGTTGATATATGGAGTTTGGGATGTATATTGGGTGAAATGTTGATTGGTACACCATTGTTTCCTGGTACATCCACTTTGGATCAAATTGGGCGGATTATTGCTGGATTGCCAAAGTTGAGTAGAGAAGGTATGTGTGTTTTTTCTGATATTAAACTAATACGTACTTATTTACTCGCGTGAATTACCCATCATGTAGAATAGGCCCCTGACTAGCATTCTCCAACCCTACTCTGCCCTGGGCCTTCCTTTCCAGTTCTACCCAACTGCAATTCATTCTTTCCATGTCTGTGACCAATTGTTGTCACAACATGTCCCTTTGTCTTCCTCGTTTCCTTCGGCCTTGAGGGTTTCGAGTGAGTGATTGTCTCGTGATGCAGTTGAGTGACTTCTGCAGTGAGTATCCTATCTGCATCCAGAACTTTTTCCTGATTTATTCCTCAGCTAGAATCCGCTTTTTCAATTGTAGAAATACTACCCTTGGTTTACCAATCAGTTTCTTCATATCTGAGTCAGATCTACCTTGTTTATCGATGATGCTTTACAGGTATGTAAAAGTTTCTCCATCAAGTATGATTTGGTTAGGGTTAGGGTTAGGCGTCTGAATTCCGAACGTGATAAGAACCAACCTCCTAAAATGACTACTTGAATGAAAACACAGAAAGTGGATGGAGAAATCAATCCATCGCTTGGCCAATGGAACTCATTAATTCCTTAGAATACTTCTGATTGACAACAAATGACCTTCTCACGTGACTACTTCTGATTGGTTCATTCTGTTAACTTCCTTCTAATTCACTTGATAACTATTTTCAAATCAAAATTAATTTTTGGTCAATAAAAACTAGCCTGACGCCTTTTCTCTCAAATCTGCCCACAGTCAAATACCCTAAAATAAGTTCTTTATGTATACGTGTCTTATTTATCCCTTTATGAGAATGAACTCTAGACGACTGTTTTGCAAAAATATCACGAAGTTATGGTTTTCATGTTGGTAACAAATATGTACTTCTGAATTTACCCAGGAGTAATACATCACTGATATGTCTGCATATAGCAGTTTTTGCATACTGGACTTTGCAGAGATTGTCAAGACTCTGATTTTAGTTTCGTTTGGGGTTGAAACAGAGGTCATTTATAACTGCTTGGTTTTTGATGAACCGTGGTGTTCATGAACTGATCTTTAGTTATACAACTACTGAAAATCTGAACGCATTGTGCAGCTGTTTCATCCTAGTATGGGACTGCTCAATAAATTGCGTCCACTACTAACCTCGAAAATGTTGAGTCCGTATCCAACAGTGTTAATGTCTGACTTGAACCAATTCACGATGGTGGGTAACCCTTATTTATTGTCTCTGGTGGATAGCTAGCTCGCACTGGACAGGGACTGGCGATTCTACAAGTCACCAATTCGTAGTGTGATGATGTTTTGAGATGCCACCTCAGAAGAACATATACTATCAGGAAAGAACAATTAAGGCTCTTGAGACTAGACTAATCCAAATGGGATTCAGACTACCTTCAATGTGAACATCACAATTAATTATCTTTAGGTCGCTAATCCCACACTGAACCCTCCTCCTCTGTCAGGTATTAGGACCATCAGTAACCCTAGAAGGGCTCCAGGCGGGATTGGGCAACACCAATTACATTACTGTAGTATTTTGAGTCAGTCGAACATTACACCAAAATATTTTCAACTGAAGTGACAAAATTTTGTATGAAGCAATCAAATGATAAAGTTTGGGTTTTTTTTAATTGTTTCATGGTTCAAGATGTACTATTGTCAATTCACATGAAAAATCGACATCACACTTAATCTACATAGAATAACAAATGATATCAATCTTAGTACGTGAATGACGTGCGCTACATCGAAAGCCCTGTCTTCGATTCTTATGTGCAGTACTCATGGATGCACACAACTGATGAGTCCCATAGTAAGATAACAAAATGCCGTCGAAACAGTGCTTGCAGTTATACTAATGATGGTCTAACAATGATCAATTCATGATTTCAATAAAACTCAAAACAATCTCCACAAACTTAAAATGAAAATACATATATTCGCTCTGAAAAGTTGAACGTTAATATATCGAACGGGCTAAATCATTCCCATTTTCACACACACACACACACATACATACGTATTAAATAATAAAATCTCACATCATCATATAAAACACTGATCCATTTGAACCAATCAGAATTATCTAACAATATCATACACGAAATGTAACGACCAATCAGATGCAAGGTCATTGCTTCAAGTTTCAATTTACAACCTGAATTAAATTATTCAATTTCTAAGATGAAAAAAATATATATCACAACATAACGCACCATTTATAACAAACTTTTTCTTATCCTTATCTGTCACCTTACTGATGAAATTAAATCAAATTAAATCTAAATCTAAATCAGATCAGATCAGATCAGAGAACTTAAAAAAAATCATGCTGTGAAAAAAAGAGTGCTGAGAATCGACAACTTATTGGCATTTTAATTTGAAAATTATTAAAAAAATTTTATTATTTCTCAATTACTTTTATCAATTGCCTCAAAAAAAACTACAATTTGTCATTAACCTGCTACCCTATTGAGTTGAACTTAATAGATGTATATATATGTATATATATGCTCCAGCAGTTCTAATTAAATACACAGTATGAAATCTACTAAGTGTATCAGCTGAGAGAAAGGCGAAAAGTCAACAAGACAACTAATAATAGTAATAATAATAATAAATTTATTCCATGGAAATTGGATTCCTGTTTTCTTTTCAATGGTTTGTACTAAAATTTGATAATTAGTTTGAAGGAAAAAATTGCGATTTGGTTTTGTTTAAATGAACAATTTAATTGTCAGTTCAAGGTTATTTTTTATGGTTGATTGAAACTAATAACAGAATTATGAAGATTGCTGTGTGCTTTTTATTGAATACACTGTTAGACTAACATTAGAAACTGCGAAATATTAGACAGCTGTTTTGTCTTGATATGGAACAAATCAGCGGTGTGCATCCCTCGTTACTTGTAGGATTTGAACTTAGGACCTTCGGTCTTGCATGCTAACACTTAACGTCTGAACCACTGAGCCGGTACTCGATGGTGTTAATGTCTAACTCTGATCAAATTCACGGAGTTGCGCAACCTTATACACAGTCTTCGGTAGGCACTGACTACACCTGAACAGGTTGAACTTCACTGGTCATGTCTTCCCACTAGAACTCGAAGAACATTCCTCACCAAGCTAGTCGTCACTAGTGAGCACAGGTAATTTGTATTACGGAGTTGGGAATATTGTTAAGTTACACATTTTTTGATCTAAACTTTTGCGCAACCTCATCCATTGTCATCGGTGATCAACTGACTACACTAGACAGGGCTGAGCTCAATCAATCACGTCTTTCCACTAGAACTCCAAGAATTTCCTCATGAGGCTAGTCACCAGTGAGAACATGGTACGATTTGATTTATTATTGAAATTTTGAATTCCTTGAGTAGCGGGAGTCATGGATGCGTACAGCTGATGAATCCCATACCAGAAGGAAGCGGCCATCCAGTGCTTCCACATTTCTAATGGTGGTCTAAAAAATGATCAGTTCATGACTTCTATGTGTGAAAATAATGTTCTCTATAACTCTAATTGAAAAGTGTAAATTCTCTCTTTTCTGTTTCTATTTAGACATGGAAAGTATCAGAAGTCCTTATAGTATTTCAATTTTAGAAAAAACACATATCAAGTAAGTGAAATGTAGCATTTTAGTGTAAGCGATCTTAAATTAATTGAACCAGTCAGTGAAAAATACAAATGTAGCACTTCAAATTTATTATAAGCAAAGATGTACAGTGGTTAACGATGGAATCCAGGACGTATGTTTCGTCCTCTGGACATTCTAAACGGATTACTTTGAAAGAGCTGTTGTAACATAAGTTTTGAGAGAACAGATAGATTTTGAATAACAACGGAATCGAGAACTCGAGTGTCCTACTATTTGATACTCATCTTCAGCTCGATATCCTTGCATCTCATAGTTATTGTTCACTCTGTGGCTCGAACTCAGTCCAAATATCAACAGTGGGGGTATTACAAACCATATCGAAATGAATTTTTTTCGCACACTAGTTGTACAAGTGAGTGGCCATCTACACTCATTCGCTAAGTGAAGAAGACAATATCATCATTTGCGGGCTCTTTCTATCGTCAGTAGTTAATTAGAAGGCATAAAAATCACAGAAAGATTTCAATTCCACAATTTTATTATTGTTTCAATTCGAAAATTCATTGGATTATAGTATAGTATGTTACGTATGCACGTCAACACATTATCTGATATGCTTGAATTAGTACGAGTTTACCTTAGTCGGAAAAGGAGAGCGAGGATCTGGCGACAAGACATGCTACTCTAATCCGAGTGAACCAACCCCCACTGAGTAAAAGAAGAACGTATTCTACAAGTAGCTAGAAAGCACGAGGTCCGATTCCAGAAGAGAATCAGGATCCCGGACCATAAGACGTTACAGATAACATGCATTTATACAGTTACGTCGAATAGGAAACAACATCGAAGTATGTGACGCTGACAGCAAGGACGACTGTAATATTGACCAATAGGAATTGACTAATAGAATTAGACGTACAAAAATAATTCTCTTAGGATATTTGATGAATATTCCTAACATAGTGAGTGACCTTTTTATGTCGAGCCCAAATAACTTAGTCCCAGCCTTTGAATAAATTAACCAATCCATTTTGTATGAGTTACTCATACGTCTTTCGACCTTGACAATTATTCACTTATCTCTTGGTTAATTTTATCCAACTACATGTGTGCATGGCTACGTCACTTATTGTATATCTGGCTTATATCTTCCTGACTATAAAATTTACTTGGTCATGCCTCATCGCCTTAAGTTGACTCTCTAGCCTTCGGTCCGCTGTGACTTGACGCTTCTTATTACCACCGTCACACAAACGAGTTTCAATGAAGTATGATATACAAAATTCGACCAAATTGGGCCATTAAATCGGTGAACCCGTAAGTCGAAATTAAAGCAACCACTAGAAATTATTAAGCTTACAATAAACAAATCACAGTATTAACCAGCCTTTGAACAAATGAACGAATCCATTCTTGTGGAGCTACTCATTATGTCTTTCTTCGACTTTGCCACTCAGTTGCTGATCTCTTGATTAATTGTATCCAACTATATGTATATGCTTGCCTACTTCGCTTATCATATGTCTAGTCTATTTCTGCTCGACTATGAAATACTTAGAACAACACATATAAGCGAACAATATTATTGTTTTCGATTAGATCGTCATCAGGCTTTACTCTAATATACATGAATATTTATTTATGAAAATGTTAAACCAATCAAGGCAATTTGAGTCAGTGATCACAATGAAATGAAAAAGGCAAAAGTACAAGTGGATAGTAGGAAGATAGTTGAACCGATAGTAGTAGGAAAATTTATAAAATATGATAACTAAAGTAGGTCAAAGGTGGATGAATAGAATTCAAATAATCATTCAAAAAATATCAAAACCATTACGTAATAAGCAAATGTGTAAAAATAAAACTAAAATAAGTAAAAAAAATATATAATGTCAATCGTTAGTTACGTCATATCCGGCCACGGAGAAGATAGGGGTATCACGAATTTCCCCTGAACAAATAAATTAGGGTTGAATGTACGTATTCCTATGGCTTCTGCTTTGAGTGTAGGCGAAAGGACCGAACTCCGTAGGGAAATGATGGAGGTATACGATAGATGATCACCCGAAAAGATCTAGACTTCTTTACAATGTGACAACGAACTACCAGGTGTGCTAAGATAGAACTGCATATTACTTTTATTGACTAACCCTTCGTAAACCATACTCGAGGAGATGTTCACTCATTCGTTGTGTAAGTTGCCTGGAAGTACGCCCGATACAGCTATCTCCACAGGAGCAGCTGAATTTGTAAATGTACATAGAGGAGGCCAATTCAGGTAACTTATCCTTCATTTGAGTAGACATCGCTGGTCGACAAGAGAATGTCAATGTAAGTTTGGCAGCGTTAAATGTTCTATTAATTACTCTCATTAATCTGTCCTGCAGAGTATCACATGTATATTAGACAGTAAAGCAGCCTGATGACGATCTAATCAACAAAACAACACTATTGTTCGCTTATATCGGTGTTGTTCTAATTTTCCTCAATGGGAATCTTTAATATTTATAAAATACTTCACACTAAGTCAGCTCTCTGAATCCTTCTGTTCACTTTCAATTTTCACGCTTCATATTATCGCTGTTACGTAAAAACGGGGCTATCCTGGCTGTGATGTACGGAGCCATTAAAAATCAATAAGTTTACAATAAACAGCAGTATTTCGAGAAAAGCGACCACTCTAAACCAAACTATTATACAACTGTACAATGAGAAGTTATTTTTTCCTTGTCAAATAACAATTCACAAGTAGACTATATCTGTGTAGTGAATGAGAACACAGGTGAGGGCAACCGAATTTGTATTGACCCGAAAATTACAGAGTTACTCAGTAAAATCGTAAAAAACCATATCGTAAATCGTTCATTTGCAAATTATCAGTTCATCATATCGAACTGGACTGTTCCTGTTGCAAAACATCAACAATCCATTGTCTGACATTTCACTGTTCATGCGTTTCATACAAATTCCATTGTGTTCTAACTCTTCCTTTCTTTTTGATCTTCCCCCATCTTCTGCTGCCACCAGACATTACGTTTTTACTCGCGTCATATACTACTTATAAGTAGTTCACACCACATATCTACAGTATCCAATTATTGATAATTCTTTTCTATTTCAGACGTCGTCCATTAGAGCATATATTAAAAAATGCAAATAAAACTGTAATGGATTTATTGAATCAAATGATTAATTTCAATCCACATAAACGTATAGATGCTTTACATGCACTGAAACATCCATATGTTCGCAAGTAATTTTAATTTTTTCTGTAAAAAATAAAATAATTTTTCATTATAACATTATGAAGATTAATAATTTACGTCGAAATCACCGAACAATCATTGTTAAGCTGTAGTGTGTCGGTTTACTACGTGTTCTTAAGCTCGGTTTATAAATCAGAATATGAACTCGTATTGATTGAATACGTTTATTCGGGACACACTACACAAAGCGAAGCGGAGAAGCAGTGAATAAAATGAGTGAAACGACGTGAATTGGTGAAGGCTGTTGAGCTAACTCTTTGGATTACAATCCGAACAAATGGGCGAAAGAAGCGATGTGGAGAAGGCTAGTGA